TGCGGCACAGGCTCTGCGGCTGCGGCGAGGGGAGCGGGTCAGACACCGGCTAAAAACCGACCCACCGCTTCGCCCTTCAGGGCAAAGGGGCTCCACTGATTTACACCAGCACAGGACGGGGCCTGACAGCCCCTCCCTGCAGAGGGCTAGTGAAACAGCAGCGGCTAATTGCCCGAGTGACCCCAGAGGCTACTTCAAGCTGTTTCGGGGCAGCGACACAAAGCTCGAGCGCTGTGGGCTGCACCAGCTCTTCCTCCCCGGCCCCTGCACGAAGGCGCTGACGCCTCCTCGTACACTCACCCCAGCACAGTCCCTCTGTCCCAGGGGAGAAGTCGGGGCCCAGATTTCAGAGGGATTTACTGAAAGCTGTTCTCCTTCCATCCATCGCCTCCCTTCCCTTAAAATCACTCAGTTTCTGGATGGTTTTTCCCTTACTGAGATTGAAATGGATGCCACTGTGTCACCCAGAAATTAATGATTTCACAGGACAGGCTAAGATCACTGCAAAAAAGGTAAAGGCCAGACAAAAGTCACCCTCCAGTCTTCCTAAGATAACTGTGATCCAGTCAGAAACTTTCCCAAGGTTAACAACCAAAGTGGTCTTGGTTAAAAATTCAATTTTCCAGCCCAAGCAGGTCAGTCCCACTGAGGAACTCATCTACTTGTCTCAGCCTCCCAGCCCAATTAGAAACTAGAATAAAAAGCCTGGGAATTAGCATGGACATCAGATGGCTTCCATTAACTCCAGAGAACCCCTCTCAGCCTCCCTGATTAATGCTATAGAACGTGCAGTTTTTAAATGGCAATTGTTTGCTTTGCGAAATTTAGAATAAAGCCATAGCTGCAGCCTGTGCGTGCGAGCGAGGAATTCAGCCTGTGGTTTTAGTCACCACCAGAATGCAAAAGGTTTCATGCTAGAGGAGAGTATTTCAATGTAAAAACAAACTTTGCAGAAAATGTGAGCTGTATCTGGGGGGAGAGGGTGTAGAGCTCGAGCTCCTTTTGGCTGGGGAAGAAACTGAGGCACTGAGCTCTGGGCTTCCTCTGACCCAGCAGGAGCTGAGCTGCGCCTGCCCAGGCTGTGCTGGGATCCAGGGTGCTGTGTCGTGCCCTTTTCCCAGTAAGGGAAGAGGAATCACTGGAGCTGCAGTTCCTGGGCTTGCTGGTCCAGGGACCGCAGCCACCGCAGCATCCCCAGGAGCACAGGGCAACAACCAACGGGGTTTTCCACACCCACACCCCCTGGACGGGGCATCCTCTCGGAGCTGGGAGGCTGCATCCTCCCTCGATGGCTTGTTTGCAAGGCTCCGTTGGTGTGACAGCCAGATTGCACACGTATTTTTGTGCAAGGATGTGCTTGAAAGCGACAACAATAACTCATGAACAGCTCTGGGCCCAATTAGCTTTGGAGTCTCCTGGAC